CTCCCAGGTCACCCTGTGCATCCTGGGAGGGTGCGAAACAGCTGCTCTTATTTCTGTAGGAAACGTCACTGCTCAGCATGTGCCTACGCTGACTGAGCTAAACCACACGCCTAGAAGAGGTCGGAGCTACACGTACAGGGTCATGAATAGTTCTGCTGATGTTTTTCCAAGGCTGTTGTTTTACTTCCTCATGTTCTTTGTAGAGTACTTTCCGTATTGTAAAATTTAAGACTGTAAAATTTTTTGAAGAATTTCCTGTCTAGCTGAACTGTGTCAGCATCATAACCTCAGAATCCACTCTAAGCTGGTCAAGAACAGCTCTACCCAAACTCTTCCGCCTGAGCAGCAGTGCTGACCTGGGGCATATCCATTGCCACAACGTTGTCTGCTCGGAATCCCAGCTTATACTCAACCTCGGCCTTGGCATGCCAAGTGACATGCAGGATATTTGTCTGACTGTGTACTGACAGGTTAAAGGATAGAGCGTAGGGACTAATAAGGTCATTTCTCAAATGAGAATGTTCTGCATCCAGACCCATGTGCCGATGAGCCAGCCCACCTCATCCTTGCTCAGGAGGAGGCTCATGCAGGGCCACCACCATTGCTGCCCTCCCCTGGCCCAGAGCAGTACACAGCTTGGAGCTGGGATGGTAGGGGTATGGCCCCCCTGTTTATCGGGTGCCATCCATGGCAGCTGACCAGCACTTTAGATGGCCAGAGCATACTGCCACCACCCCTTCGGTGACCTTGTCCACTTCCTGTTCTTTTTCTTGCTTCAAACTGGCTCCTTAGCAAGACTTCTGGGTTTAGCCTGTGACTCAGTCCCAGCTTACCCTACGAGCACCCAGGTAGGGCAGGAGCATTCATGGTGGAACACTTGGGCCTTGGTCCCTCCCCTCCCTGTGCTGGTGGAACCGAACAATGAGATGGTTCTCTCACTCAGTCTGAGAACAAGTGCAGCCAGCTCACCGAAGACGTCTCCACTCTGGGTTCCCAGCTGCAGGACACACAGGTAAGGGCGGCAGCAGCTCTCTACAGCTGGACCTTCCCCAGGAGGATGCGGTGCCCACAGTGCTCTGCAGCTGGACTTTCCTGGAAGGATGCGGTGTCCAGGTGACATCCCCTGCCAGACCTCTGCGAGTTCTGAACAGGGCTCCTCTGATTTCACGTGCTCCCCCTGCATCCACAGGAATTCAGGGTCCCCCCAGGCTCCCACCAGGTCTTCACCAGCTGTGCCCTGAGTCAGAGGGACCAGCTGCTCCTCCCCCACAATGGTGTGGGGGACCAGGCAGCTCTGACCCTCCACCTCCTGAGCAGCTGTGTAGGGAGAGGCTTAAGAAGGACTTAGTTCCCTCAGTGAAACAGGAGCTAGAGGAGCACATAGGGAAGCTCTGCCCATGGCAGACAAGGGTGACAAGGTGCACAGGGAGTGTCCCATCTCCAAAGTGGTGGCCAGTTCCACCAGGGCTGTGTCTGACTTTCTCGCCATTGTGTGCTGTGCCTGGCACCCATGACAGCAGAGGCATGCTTATGGCAACTGGGAGGGGACTGGGGTTGGCAGGTGCTATGACCAGAGTGTCTACCAGCATGGTGGGACACTCAAAGAACACATCAGTGGAAGCAGGTGCCATCTGTCTGGTGTCAACTGGTAACAACAAAGGGAAGTCATGGGTGAATGCATCCCAGCACACCCAATCTCCGCCAGGCGTGGGGGGAATGCCCCTGCCAGCAAACTGGCCAAAGCACCCCCTCCTGGCAGCTTGGGCCCATGTTCTCATGACCAGTGGGGTGATGTCAGCCCAAAGCAGCCAGCAGCTACAGAAAGCTTTGGGGGTGCTGCCCTGGCAATGACCAAAGGCACCAGGTCTTTGGATTGATCACTGCCAGTGTCTCCCTTCTGGTGGATGTGATCATCCCTGTGAAGGAGTCAAACCACTTGCTGAGGGGCAAAGGCACAGTTGACTGAGGGGCTGAGACCGCAGGCCCAGGGCCTGGAGAGGAGGCTGAGGAACTCAGCTGGCCTCACAGGATTCTGCAGGAAGGCCTGACTCTGTGAGCCCCAGACCGTAGGGAGCAGGGACGTGTGTGGGACAAAGGCATGGAGGTGCCATGTCAGAGGGAAGGAGAGGGCGAGACAACATTTTCGGAACTGGGTGTGAAGGAGCTCAGTATTGCTATGGCCGAGCACAGCAAGGGAAGGGTTAATGCGGATGGCAGGTGGATCACAGAGAAGAAAGGGATGTGGAGCCTGGAATAAGGGGAAAGAAGGGACAAGAGGGTGACGGAATGGGGAGAACTATATTTTGGACTAAAGAAGACATGGGGGTCGTGAGTGAAGAGAGAGAAGTGGAGGAGCAAGAAGGCCAGAAATACAAACAAGTTTAAAATGAAGAAAGCTGGAGAGTGTGCACAGCTGGCATTTGGAAGTAACGGGGGATTGTCTCTTGACCCTCCCGTGGTTTGCGGTCCCTGCAGGAATGGGGTCTTCCCCTGGGGGTGGTCTCCAGCTCTGCTTTCCAGTATGAACTCACTGCTATCTTCCAGCAGGTCTATCGTAGCTAAGCAGGGACTTTTTTTAAAAATAATGTTTTCTTTTATTATTATTGCTTAAGTTTTCAATTAAGGTTGACATATATTAGTTTCAGGTGTGATTAGACATTTATCTACTTTTCAAAGCGACCACCTGATACATCTCATTCCCATCTGACATCATACATCGTTTTTACAGTACTGTTCACTGTAGGCAGTGACTTGTTGATGAAGATGATGAAGATAGTGATGATGGCGATGGTGGCGATGACAGCAGAGTGTGTGAAACATTCAACAAGTTGCCCCCGCTCTTTGGGCCAGGGAGCTCAGAGAGACCAGTGAAGTTCCCATGAAGCTCCAAGTGCTGTGTTGGACCAGTGGTTGATTTAAAAAGAAAAAAGAAAGGAAGGAAAAGAAAGAAAAGTGAAACCGGATGCCAGCAACAGGTCAAGGAACCCCTCGGTGTGTCTGGGGGATCTGTGGGATGGGGCCATGGACACGGCCTCTGAGCCTCAGCTTTCTCGTCAGTGGCGGGGGTGTGGGTGCCGTGCCGGGTGATGTTTCTGATCGGTCTAGCTCTCCTGTCTTGTGTCCTGTCAACTTTGGATCCATACCCGTGAACTGACACACCCAGCCTTTGTTGTGTTGACTGGTGGGCTGGTCGGGGCTCTGGAGGACTGACTTCCCTCCCCCTGAGCCTGCCCCCAGGATCTCAGGCAACAAACCTTCCATTGCTCCTCCCGCTCACTCATTGGGCTCCAACTCACATCCTGCCATGTCCCTGAGACCTTGGTGCCCCATAAGTCCCACTGGGACGCCTCCAGGAAGCTTGTGCACATCCGGCTTGGGCTGAGCACAGGCGTGTGCCTCACCCAGCAGCTGGAACCCAGGAGTGACTGTGGCACAGGAGGCTGACTGGCACTGGAAGGGCTTGTTTGCAATGTGAGGGAGGGTCATCAAATAACAGTGGGACAGAGAGAGACTGCCAGACACCAGACATCCTCTCCAAGCTACCTCCTGCAAGAGCTTCCAGAATGGTCTTCTGTGTTGGGCCTGGTGGCCCGCCCTGTCCCTGCCCCCCCCGAGTCTGTTCTCGACACTGAGCCAGAACAGCCCTCAGGAATACAGACCTCAGCAAACACCTGCTTCCAGCTTCTCAGTGGCTTCCCTTTGAGAGCAAAGGCACTTTGTTGTGCAGAGGCACAACAGCTAGAAGCCTCCTTGCAGCCTAATAACCCGTGTTAGCCTGGGGTTCCCTGAGGGTGGAGCTGGAGTCAAAGCTCAGTGAGAGAGGATTTATTTGGGACTGAGGGACCCAGGGAAGTGAAGCAGAGAGGGAGGGAAAGTTGATATAAGACATGGCCTTACTTTGGTCACCTGTGTGGGTGACTGGGTCTGGAGATCTTCTCCCGAACCTTCATGGAGTGGCCTCAGATGCACCCTCTGCAGGGAGAAATGAGGGCAGCATCTGACCTCTGCCCCCCATCACCCTCAGACTTGGTCCCGTGGGCACTGAGTCTGCATTTCCACGTGTGGAGCACGTGAGCACCACACAGGCTTCCAGGACTGGGGGCCGGCACAGGAAGCAAGAGACACGGGACAAGCACAATGACCCCCCGACAATTCCTAAGCCACTCACGGAGGGCAATCAGTGACATAAACGTCTTTTTGGATGTACCGTCCCCATGGGAGTCTTTTCTCATCCCTCTGACTCTCTGTGAGCCAACGCTGCCCTGAGGCCCTCAGTGGATCTTTCCATTTGTTCCTGAAGTCAGGAGTCCTGGCTGCCCACTGGCCAGGCCCTGAACAAGGGGTTTCCCTCCTCTGCCATTCTTCATCAGTTCTTGGTCCACTCACGTGTTTGCATAGATGCACCTGGGCATTCGCTGGAGTGTTTCAGGCACTGGGTAAGCGTGCCACTCAGCAGCCCCTCAGCCCTGCCCCCCCTGAGCCCTCACAGTGGAAGTTCACTTGGCTAAATGTGCATTTGAGGCAGCCCCACTGCAGTCTTTGTGCCAGTTGGGATCCCTTTGGTTATAAGCCCCAGAGACTGAGTCTGGCTAACAAACACAAAGGAGAGTGTCCATGGGAAGGGAGCTAGGGCAGCTCAGAGAATGCGGAGGAACCCAGGACCTACAAATTAGGAGGGACAGGACTGGGCAGGTCCAACGTCATGAGCTTGTATCAGCGCCCTGAGACAAGTGTCTTAGGTCCAAACACCTAGACCCTAGTGTCTCTGAGTCAGGTTTCAAGTTGTCAGCAGAGAGAATAGCTTGGGTCAGGTGACAGGATCCTTGGACCAATCAGTCAGGCCAAGGGGTCAGGAAGAAGAATGGGGAACAGGGACAGAAACCCTGGGGCGAAGGCTCAGGTCAAGGGGCCCCGTGACTTTGAGGTGTGGCCCCTCGTCCTCGGAGTAGGAGCTGCGGTGGGAGCAGGACCTCCAAAAGCTCAGCCTGAGCACCAGGCTTCAGCAGGTGGAAGAGGAGAAGAAGTCCCTGAAGGAGCAGCTGGAACAGGAGGAGGAGGCCAAGCACAACCTGGAGAAGCAGGTTGCCACCCTGCTGGCCCAGGTTCGGTGCTAGTTGCCCCAGAAGACCCCTGGGCAGCTGGGTGGCTCAGGGACACTGGTCAGATTCTCCAAGGTGTGACAGAACATCCTTATTTTCCCCACTGTCCAGCTGACACCTAGCATTTTCTTCCTGATGAATGTAGATAAACCACAGCAGTCCCAGTGCCTGTGGTCCTGGTCACTAGAAACCACCAGTGACCTTGTCCCAGACCAGGCAGGACTTTGGGGGAAGTCACTGAACTCCTTGTACTTCAGGAGGCTGCTCTCTGTGGTGCTCACGGAGAGGCATGTGGGTCACTCACTCACCAGTGCAGTGTAACCTCTGACAGCCGCCTTTGTCCACTTTGACTTTCCTGATCATCCTATGTATGTTGTGTAACAACATGGGGTGATGAGGAGTCGTAGTCTGCTCTGTGCTGTCACAGGATCCACAGCAAAAGTGGACCAAGTACTCCGTTTTCGGTTCTGTGTCAGGGATTTAAGTGCCCCAGGCCAGATGTGCCCTACATGCAGGACAGGCTCACGGTCCACCCCATGATCTGGGAGGAGCAGCCAGCACGTGCGTGTGGTGGCGGTTTTCTGTCCACATGGAAGGAGGAGGCAGCAAAACAGCTGCTCGGGTCCTCCTGACCCTAGCAGAAAAAATACCCTGGAGGGCACCGGCCCTGCTGCCTGTGGTGAGGTGAACGGAGGGCGCTCCTAGCTGGGCCTCTAGTCTGGGTGAACGAGATGCCTAGAGCCCGCCACAGTGGAGAGGCCCTCCAGACCTGACCTGCACTCGGCTCCACGGACTGTGAAGATGCCCTCGGCACAAAGTGGGTCCCTCTTGCTGGGTGGGAGGGGAAGCCTCCTCACCTGGGTTTGCTCTCTGGTCTCTGTTCACCAGGAGCAGGCCAGCTCCCAGCTGCCAAGGTCTCAGCTGTGTTCCCTGAGCAGGTGCCATGGTGGGTGTCTCCTTATTCCTTGTTCCTGGCCAGGTGAGCAGCATGGGAAGCCTGGAGACTGCTGAGAAGTGAAGCGGATACTGTAGAAGGACCTGGAGGGGCTGAGCCAGCTCTACGAGAAGAAGGTGGCCGCCTGAGACAAGCTGAAGAGGAGGACGTGGCCACAGCAGTAGCTGGTCGGCCTGCTTGTGACTAGGACCACCAGTGGCAGAGCGTCTACAAGCAGAAGGAGCAGCAGAAGGTTGACCAGCTGTGCACCTGCACTGGGCCTGGCGCACCCTCAGCCCTTCCTGCATTGCTGTGGTCCAGCTGCAGCTGGGTCCAGGGGTTCCTGAAAGGTGGGTAAGGCGTCGGTGATGGGAGACAGATGACAACACAACTCAGAGGATGGTGAAGCTCTGTTCCATTTATTGCAAGCACAAGCAGGTTTTTATATTTTCATTTTTGATAGTGATTAACATTTGTGGTTAGGCAAAGCAAGAAATTTTCTCCCTGGATATTAGGTCACATTAATCTAGTAACCTTTTAAACCAGACAATTTAGAAATAGCTGTATGTACAGAGTTTCAATGTCTTATTGTTTATTAAAGTTCTCAAAATAAGGGTACGCTAGACTGAGTAGAAGTTACAGGAAATGTATTATAAGGCCTTTGTGATGTCTAACTTAGCTATCTTTTCTGTTGAAAATGTTTTTCTATATACTATGGACTCTGACTCCCTGGTAATTGTTTCTACATGCTTAATTTATAATAGCTAACCAGCTTTTCTTATTTCTTTGCCTGTCTAATTCTAATTGATATATATTCCTATTCAAGGTAAAGGAGGAGCTGTTACTCCAACAACTTTTAGACATTCAGGGGCTATTTCATTAGAGGGGATTTTGTTCTCTGGTCAAGAAATTATTTTGTACAACTTCATTGGAATTATGCAAATCAATAAACCTGAAATACAGGTGTCTAACAACCCCACCACCTTTTGATCACCAAAACAAACATGTAAGGAGAGATAAACAGGAAATCCAGCCGCAGTAAGTTCTTTTATGGGAACAGCCGGGGAAAATTTCTTACTCAGGTTTATAAACACCTTGTTTAAACAATTTGGGCAGGATTCAATAGTCTGGGGAGAGCTAGTTGTCCCTTCAGAATTTCCTTCAAAGTTAATTGTTGACTCACTTTGAGCCTCTTTCCCCTCATGGCCTGTTCTTATGGGAATCAGGGTACAAAGTAAGACCATGATTAATATCAGCAAGGAAATTATTAAGAGCAATCCCCAGGAAAATTACCACCCCCCTTTGTATACCACGTTCTCTTCCAGGAAGATGGATTCCTAGAATTCCCTCTTTCCACGACTGGACCTTGTGAGACAACATGGTTGGAAGAGGACATGGCAGTGCTTGGTATTGCTCTGCTCCAGAGCCAGCAGGAAACCAGGTGCGCTTCCTGTTTGCAGACCTTCCTGTGCCCCCTTGACACTGAGCTTCCTGTAAAAGCCTTTTGCTTGGAGAGGAAAAGATCTGTCACCCTAAAGAAGTGAACCAGGAGGGAAATCTTCCCACTCTCACGATTCTCTGTGTGCACCCAGACAGCACTGACCACCAGGGATGGTCTCCTTGGACAGGTCACCATGGCTAGGGGACAGTGTCCCTGTCCAGGGACAGGTCTAGAGAGAGATCTTATCAAAAGTGGTCAGGGGAGACACCTCCATATGGGCCAAGCCATGAGCTCAGGCCCCTCCTCCAGGTACCATGGGAACAGAGCCAACAGGGGACAGGGGACCCTGTGGAGTACATGCTGGAGGGCTGCTGTGAAGAGGCGATGCCAGATTTGGGCTTTGAAAGTAAAGCGTCATTTTCCAGGTGGTAGAAGCTGGTGCTTCTGGCAGAAGGACCTATATGAGCAAAGGTCTGGAGCTGCCCGCAGGTGGCCTGCAATCGTGGAAGGAGCGCAATGCAGTGCAGCAGGTCTGCAACGAGCACCTGCAGGGTCAGGGTCTGTGCTGATAGTTGGTGACAGAGAGGGGAACAAGGCAGGCATTTTGGGGGCTGTGGGGAGCATGAGAGGGCAGGGGTCTGGGGACAAGCCCCTGGGGAGGAGGGTAATGAGCCCAGGTTCCCACAGTCTGTCAGGGGCAGGATGGGCTGGGCCAAGAAGGCCCTGGGTGTCAGGTCTGGGGTTGCCCCTCAGAGGGGTCAGCAAGGAGGGTGGGACCAGTGTAGGGTGGAATCCTTTGGGTGATGTGTTGTTTGGTGCTGAGCTTCTCAGAATTGGGACATTTGCTTTTGTCACTGGACAAGGGGCCTGGCCCTGAGTGGGTCTGCCCTGGGCAGCTGTAGCATGTGGGTTCTTGACTCTGTGTGGGAAAGACTTCACAACATGAGTCTAGGTGACTATGAGGATCCATTTGTTAAAGCCAAGGACAGTGACACAAGAAAGGACTCAGCATAGAAACAATCGGAGAGCCTGGGCTGGGGTGCTTTAGCTCAGTGGGAAGTCAGAGAAAAGGGGAATCTGGGGACAAGTTCAGGGACAAGCTGCCAGCTGCCCATTGCCTTCAGTTTAGGAGACAAGTGCCTGTGAAGAGAGAAGTGGGAGAGGAAGAAGGGAATGGCCTGGGCCACTCCCCAGAGGCAGCGCCCAGGCTGGGTTTGCTGAGCAACCTGTTTCAGTTTTTCTATTCTACTTGCCAAAGGAATTTTCTGGCTTCTTACTATTCTGTCTCACTTTCACTTTTGCTTCCGAGGATGTCTGGACTTGGAAGAGGTGTGTGGTTTGTGCACTGACTCTGCTGGCGAGTGGATCTGCTCGCCTAAGAGCAACTGGATCCTGTTCCAGCTCCACCAGAGGAGGGTCCTTGGTAAGCTGGGGAGAGTGGGAGCCCCCCACCCTCCGTCCCTACAACTCCCTGAGACAGGGACTATTGTCACTATTCTACCGATGGGGAAAGAAAAAGGAAAGGCTAGGTAAGGATCAGGGAGAACAGGTGAACGGCCCAGGGCACACGTAAGCAGTGGCAGAGCTGGGATCTGAGCCCAGGTGTGTCCCACCACTCCCTCCCTCCCCTGTGGCCCTAAACAGTGGAGCAGGAGGGGGAACGGATCAGATGGGACATGGCCAGGGACCCCAGAAAGAAGGTAGATGTTGGGGTGACTTGGACAAAGCAGAGGTAGAGGAGGGCAGGTGAGTCAGATCCCCAACCTGTTCCTGGGGTTCTGGCTGACCCCCACCCGGTCCCGAGCTGCAGCTGAGTTGACGGGGACAAAGGATTTCTTCTGAGATTTCAGAATCTGAGAGGCTATTTCTCACACCCTGTAGGCTCAGTGCTGGGCCGTGTGGGGAACCTGCGGCCCTGAGTGTGAGGGGGGATGCGTGACTTGCCTGGGTGACATGGTGGGAGACCGAGCAGGAAGATGGCCAGGCTTTGCCTCCCTGCTCCTGGCCTGCCCACTGCTACTTAAAATCTTTTCTAGTTTGCTTCTTAACTCGTTCAGAAATAACTAACTTTAGGGCAAATTGTTTTTTCCTTTTTCTTCAACAAGTCTTTTTACACCTTATACCTTTTGTTTCCAAACCATACAATTTGTTTCCAACTTAACCAGAATTCTTAATCCTTAGAAGCCTTGATTTTTAGTGACAGCTAGAAGTAATTAACGTTCTTTATTTTTTCTTTTTAAAATATAGAAAATATTTATTTATTTAAAACATTTGAGAAATTGTACAAAAATATATTGTGCCCTTTCATGTACTATCTACCAAACCTAACACATTGGAAGCTTAAGTTTTCTCTTGCACTATTTGGGGGGAGGGGATAACCTGTTATTATTTTTTTAACTCTTTTTTTAAAAGATTTTATTTATTTATTTTTACAGAGGGAAGAGAGGGGGAGAGAGGGGATGGAGGGAGAGAGAGAGAGAGAGAGAGATCAATGTGTGGTTGCTGGGGGTCATGGCCTGCAACCCAGGCATGTGCCCTGACTGGAAATCAAACCTGTGACACTTTGGTTTGCAGCCCGCGCTCAATCCACTGAGCTACGCCAGCCAGGGCTTAACCTGCTATTATTTTTTAGTATATTTAATTAATTATGCTGTTACAGTTGTCCCTGTTTTTTTTTCCCCCTTTGCTCCTCTCTGTCCAATGTGCCATTTCCCTCCAGCAGTCCTCCCCCGCTTACTTTGTAACCATGGGCTGTGCCTGTGAGTTGTTTGGCTCCTCCTTTTCCTATGCTACCCTAACCTCCCCCATCTATTTTGTTTCTACCAGTTGTGATTCTTGACCCCTTCACCCTCTCCCCCTTCCCCCTCTTCCCCCTCCCAGCTGATAACCCTCCAAATGATTCCCATACCTATAATTTTGTTCTTGTTCTAGTTGTTTGCTTAGTTTGTTCATGTCTTTGTTTTTATTTTTTAGATTCAGTAGTTGATAGCTGTGAATTTGCTGTCATTTTAATGTGCATATTTTGATCTTTTTCTTAAATAAATTCCTTTAACACTTCATGTAATAATGGCTTGATGATGGTGACTTCCTTAGCTTTACTTTGTCTGGGAGGCACTTTGTCTAAATGAGAGCTTTGCTGGATAGAGTAATCTAGGGTGTAGGTCCTTGCTTTTCATATTTTGAATACTTCTTGTCACGCCCCTTCTTGCCTGCAGTTTTTTTGAGAAACCAGCTGCCAGTCTTATGGGAACTGCTTTGTAGGTAACTCTCTCCTTTTCTCTGGCTGCTTTTAAGATTCTGTCTTTATCTTTAACCTTTGGCATTTTAATTATGACATGCCTTGGTGTGGTCCTCTTTGGGTCCAGCTTGATTGAGACTCTGTGCTTCCTGAACTGGCATTTCTATTCTCTTCACCAATTAGGGAAGATTACTTTCATTTTTTTAAATATATTTTATTGATTATGCTATTACAGTTGTCCCATTTTCCCCCCTTCACTCCCCTCTGCCCTGCACACCCCTTCCCACCCACATTCCCCCCTTTAGTTCATATCCATGGGTCATACTAATAAGTTCTTTGGCTTCTACATTTCCTATACTATTCTTACCCTCCCCCTGTCGATTTTCTACCTACCATCTATGCTACTTATTCTCTCCCCTCTCTTTTCCCCCTCTCTCCCCTTCCCACTCCCCTGCTGATAACCCTCCATGTGATCTCCATTTCTGTGGTTCTGTTCCTGCTCTAGTTGTTTGCTTAGTTTGCTTTTGTTTTTGTTTTAGGTGTGGTTGTTAATAACTGTGTTTGCCATCATTTTACTGTTCATAGTTTTTATCTTCTTTTTCTTAGGTAAGTCCCTTTAACATTTCACATAATAAGGACTTGGTGATGATGAACTCCTTTAATTTGACCTTATCTGAGAAGCACTTTATCTGACCTTCCATTCTAAATGAAAGCTTTGCTGGATAGAGTAATCTTGGATGTAGGTCCTTGCCTTTCATGACTTGGAATACTTTTTTCCAGCCCCTTCTTACCTGTAAGGTCTCTTTTGAGAAATCAGTCTTATGAGAACTCCTTTGTAGGTAACTGTCTCCTTTTCTCTTGCTGCTTCTAAGATTCTCTTCTTATTTTTAATCTTGGGTAATGCAATTATGATGAGCCTTTGTGCCTTTATCCAACTTCTTTAGGACTCTCTGAGCTTCCTGGACTTCCTAGGAGTCTATTTCCTTGGCCAGATTGGGGAAGTTCTCCTTTATTATTTGTTTAAATAAGTTTTCAATTTGTTGTTCTTCCTCTTCTCCTTCTGGTACCCCTATAATTTGGATGTTGTAACATTTAAAGATGTCCTGGAGGTTCCTAAGCCTCTCCTCATTTTTCTGAATTCTTGTTTCTTCATTCTGTTCTAGTTGGTTGTTTCATTCTTCTTTCTGGTCCACACCATGGATTTGAGTCTCAGTTCCCTTCTCATCACTATTGGTTCCCTGGACATTTTCCTTTATTTCACTCAGCATAGCCTTCACTTTTTCATCTAATTTACAACCAAATTCAACCAATTCTGTGAGCATCCTGATTATCAGTGTTTTGCATCTGATAGGTCGGCTGTCTCTTCATCACTTAGTTGTAGTTGTTCTGCAGCTTTGATCTGTTCTTACATTTGGGCCATTTTTTGTTTGTTTGTTTTGGTGTGCCTGTTACATAGTGAGGGGCGGAGACTCAGGTATTCATCTGGGAAGGGCAACCCACGTCACTGCATTGTGATACTGTGTGTGGGCCAGGGATCCAGAAGGGAACAATGACGCTTGCTCTGCTCTCTGCTGGATTTCAATCAATTCCCCTGCTACCCACAAGCAAAGTGGGCCCCTATCGTGCTGATTCCAGGGTTGGTAGGTTTGTGTATGTTCTAGGACCCTGTGGGTCTCTCCTGTGAGGCTGGGAGTTTCTCCCGCTGCCACCTTAACCCCCACAGGTGTTTTCAGTCAGTGGTTTGAGACTTTATTTTCCTGCGCTGGAGCCCTGTGTTACGCAGTCTGTCTCACTCCCCATTTGTTCCTCCCGGTTTATCTGCACACAAATGTGGGACTGCCCACTCCAGCAGCTGCTGCCTCACTGGGTCCACCAGTCGCTGCCTGGCTGTGAGTCCATTCCACACGGCTCCCCGGCTCCACCCATCCTACCAGTCTGAATGAATGTGTCTTCTTTAACTCCTTGGTTGTCAGACTTCCATACAGTTTAATGTTCTGTCAGTTTTTGTTGTTTTTTTGTTTTTAAATTGTTATTGTCCTTCTTTTGCTTATGTGAGGAGGCACAGAGTGTCTACCTACGCCTCCATCTTGGCCAGAAGTCTGTTTCATTTTTTCAAATAGATTTCCAGTTTCTTGCTCTTTCTCTTCTCCTTCCAGTACCCCTGTGATGGGAATGTTGGATTTCTTGAAGTTGTTCCAGAGGTTGCTTATACTACCTTCAATTTTTTGGATTCTTTTTCCTTTTGTTGTTCTGATTGGTTGTATTTTGCTTCCTTATGTTCCAAATCATTGATTTGATTTTTGGCTTCATCCACTCTACTGTTGCTTCCCTGTAAATTGTTCATTATTTCAAGTAGTGAATTCTTTGTTTCTGACTGGATCTTTTGTGTCCTGCTGAGGTCCTCACTAAGTTCCTTGAACATCCTCATTAACCAGTGTTTTGAACTCTGTATCTGATAGATTGCTTATCTCCATTTCATTTAGCTCTTTTTTTTTCTGGAGTTTTGATCTGTTCTTTCATTTGGGCCCTGTTTCTTTGTCTCCTCATTTTGGCAGCCCCCCTATGTTTGTTTTTATGTATTAGGTATAGCTGCTTTGGCTCCATGTCTTGGTAGCGTGGCCTAATCAGTAGGTGTCCAGTAGGGTCCAGTGGGACAGCCCACTGGGTATCACCCAAACTATCACCTAAGCTAGGTATTCCAGGTATGTCCTTCATGTAGGCTGAGTAGTTGAGTCTCCTCTTGTAGTTGAACCTTGGTTGCTGTTGGCAGGTCAACTGGAGGGATTGATCCAGGTCAGTGAGCTGCAAGGACTGGCTGTGACCACTGACCACCAACCTCTGCCCTCTGTGTAGGATCAGCAGTGGAGGGGCAGGGTGGCAGTGCTCCAAGGTGGTCTGTTGCTATCCACTGGGTGCACTGGCCCTGGGGTTTCCAGGTGGTGCAGGCCAAGATCAGCCCCCATCTGCATTTTTCCCAGGGTTGCCCTTTCGGAGCTATAAAGCAATCTGAGAAGGCTGCTACTTGTGCTGGGCTGGCAGATTGCCAGGTGAAGGCAAGCTGTGAAACTAATCTGGCTGCTGCTAGTGCCTGGCCTGAGGTTCACTGAGGCCAGCTGTTGCTTAGGGTGTGATAGGGTTTAGGAAGCGGTGAAGCATGAGCCAAGACTCATTATTCACACGGAAAA